AACTAAATGTGGAATTAGAGAGTTTGGGGTGCAAGAGTGAATCCCTAACTTGGGCTTGTAAGAATACTACAACAGCTATTCCCATAGCAATGGTAGGCTGTGGGTGTAACTGACCCAAGTGCACATCCGGAGAACAAAACAAAACCAAATTCCTTCAATGGAACCACATTAAATACCACAACTGATCTAAGTAGCTCATGTTGCATTTACAGCATCGAGTGTGTGGCTTTTCCCAATTGCCCAGACAGCACAAAGGTGGCAGGATTACATTTAATGGAGCAATAAAAGCTTAGAAAAGCAAAAGGCATCAGATAGATGATCTCTGGATGCACTGGACACTGCCTCTGGTAAGACGGCCCTGATGAATTAGCTAAGTGGCAATCCAAGATAAGGAGGTCTCAACCTCACGAGCAATAAACCAGAATTGCTTGTTACAGCCTGGTTTGAGTGAGGGACATCACACAGCTGTTGCGGGAGCACAGAGCATCAACCAGGACCTTGCTCTCCCGATAGGGTGAGGGAGGAGCACGCTGCCTTGCTCTTTGTCACAGAGCAGCTTTCCCTTCCTATTTGTCTGACGTGGTGCCAACGTCTCGGGCACAGAGTTGGCACGTAAACCACACCTACCTCCCCATCGTCTGCAGCACAAACCATTAGACTCCCAGCCTTTGCTTTTGCAGCCTTGGTGGGACAGCAAGCCAAAACCAGGCATCACCTCGAGTCCTTTTGCTCCCTAACATTGCTAATAATTGGGCTCCGGAGGAAAAGACTTCCTAGATCCCCAGCTCAGTCACTGTACATGAGAAGATTGCTATTTCGACCACAGTAATGTTTTTCCAAAGTCCCCTCAGAGACTTGGGATTATAAATTCAACTCTGACCTTTGAAACATTTTAGCCACAGCTCCATGAAATCCCCAGAAAACAAGCACACAGGCCCTTGCAGAGCAAACAGAGAGGTTGCATTTCCACCATTGCGTAACTTGCACAACTGCAACTCTGGAGCTTGGTCCACATAGCCACATGTGATGCACAGTGGGCAAAAGCCCTAGGGGAACATGCCAGGCTGTTAAAGAAACTGTACCCTTCAAGGCACAGGACAGGACCTTCCCAGCAAACAGAGGAAAATGCTGAATACCTCCTCCCACAGCAGCTGGGGCAGACAGGGGGTGTCACCAACCAGTGCTAACAATGGTCCTGCCACGTTGGCAAAGCCAACATTATGTTGGAGCATGAATCCCTGCCTGGGCACATCTCCATACAGGAGCACTGAAATGGTCCTCTGAGATGAAAGTGGTGGCCTAGCTCCACTCCCACCAAACTCTGCAAGCCCTGCCTTCTCACGGGCCCTTAAGCATCCCACCTTTCCATGACAGCTCTGTAGTTTTCTGTTTTCAGCCGATTTATCCTTGACAACAGAGCGCCACAGTAAAAGGAGCTATTCCTATCCTTGTTCTGCTGATGGGGGACAACGGAAGGGAGAGATTCAGAAATACACAGAAGTTCACAGAGGAAGCGTGTGACAGAGGAAGGAGTTGTCTTTGCCTCTCTAGATCCAGGACAAAGTTTCTCACCATAGGATAGTTCTCCCATCAACTTCACTGGGTGGGAATGAAGCCAGCGATGGGTGCTCTGGAAATCCCATCACGAATGCTTCCTTCATTTAGATGTTTTAATAGTGTTTACAACTCTATGATGAAGATGTACTTGCTGCAGCCAAGAAAAACCCCACCAGCACTCTTTGAAGGAGAAATGAAATGCTTCATTAATTCAAAAATTGTTGAGATTGCAAATCAGAAACCGAACATACAGGTCTAGAGGCAAGATTACTAATAATTCATGAGCAAAATGCTATGTTTATGCAACACTAAGGATGAGATTTTAATTGCTTATTACTCTAATTGATTTCATTCAGTTGTTATGGCAACTTACTCCTTTTAGTATATGCAGTACACTAGACTCTTACAGGCTTAAGCCATAAAGCAAGGCTGTGTGACACATCGCAGTTGCAACACGTATTGGAAGATAAATAATGCTGATTATCTGCTCATGTAACACATAGTAGACAGAGACCATGGTTAGGGCTGGCCAACACCGTCTAGTCTAACGCTTCATAAATTCTACAGTTTCTCTCAGCAGTCCCAGCTGATGACTTCCATGCTTATCTCTACCATGAACTACTCTCAGTTTACACCACTCTGCGCTCCGCTAGAGCACAAACAGGGGCCATTTTGTGAAGAAGCCAGTTAGGAACGGCAGTTTTGTCAGCACATATGTTAGACATTACCTCCTCTATATTCTGAGTCTTTTCCAGAAAAGCTTTTTACACAACAGGAATTCAGAGCGAGAACTCCAAACCTGACAGTCGAGACCTGCAATCCAAACCCTGCCTTGTGCCGTTCAGAAGGTAGTAAGTAGTTCAATTAAACAGGAACACCCAACACAGGCTTCGCTTGGCTACACTTACACATCCACTCCTGTCTCCCCCTCCTGCCCAGTCTCTCCCCAGTGATGGTGGAACTGCTACTCACGTGTAAACATATCCACTAGCTTGTGTACAGCAACATAGATCTTGCTCTCTGAGCACGTATGCTAGCAAAGCTTATTTTGCCAGTCCCTGGAGCACCTCCTTAAAATCTCTTGTGAGCCATCCATCTCACATGCATCAAGTTTTTAGGGAGCTGAAGACAGCAGCTGCGAGTTGGACGTTGTTCGGAAGTGGAAACACAGACTTCTCCCCTTGTTAAAGGCCCTATGCAACATACATTGAACTGGAAACTGCAGGAACTGGTTTCTGCTCTTGCCCCAGTACCCACCGATTCACCTTTTGCTGAGCTTCAAAGCCCTGAGAGCTACCTGGTATCACAAGAATAAGGCATCCACCTGTTAACCCAGCCCCTTCACAAGCAAGCAAAGAAATGGTACGAGATTGTGAGGCAGCACTGTTTTTGACATCAACTATTTCTTTTGCTGTACGCACTACAGCCAAGAGCCTGCTCTGAGCACTGACCAACATACTACTTATTCCACCAGAAAACACAGGGAGCTGTTAAAGGCCAGGGCCTGAACACACAGACTTGGTTTCTGCTGAAAGATTTTATTGCTCCATGTCACTTGTTATGCGATCAAGCGGTGGGGAAGTCAGGTTTCCTGTTTAAAAGGCCATTATCATTACCTAAATATGGAATGACAATTCACTAGGAACAGAAGTGGTTCCAGTAGTGGTCCCTTGCGGCCCAGCTCAGCCATAGGAGAGCAGGTGAGCAGCACGATAACATCTCCAGATCCTCTCGGAAACCAGGGCTCGTCGACACTGATGTGAGCCTTCAGCTCTGCACTTTAAATAAGGCAGGCAACACAACGCTGTCTCACAAAGGCAGAGGGAGGAACACCCCAGCGCTCACACAGAAACCATACAGCCAGGAACCATCCCAGGGGATGTCCTCCCCACGGAAACATTCCCTTTCAGCCCCCTCATCCCCACCCAAACCAGTCTTACTGACAAGGCAGTTATGAAAATGAGCGCCTATTTAAACTCTTGAGGCTGCAAGCGTTCAAAGTTTCACCTCACCGTACAAGAAAGCCCAAAGCTGCATTTAAAAGCCACGCACGGCTCTGCTATTAAAAAGCGAGCCAACCACCAAAAGCCCCATTCTTTGAACAAAGCCAGGCAAAACCTCCTCTGAGGGATCCACAGCTATCTGACCCAGCAAAATCAAAGTTGAGCCTAAATTATCAAACCACAGAAGTAAACCCGACAACGTTCTCGCAAGCAAATTTCTTTTCATGCCGGGACGGACTTGAAAGGGGCTGAATGGTGCACCTCAAGCTTTATTAAACTGACTCCCTCCCTCTCACAAGCTGTTGGTAAACCCAGGGGACATTGCCCACGGCTTCCTACCCTTCCCAACAGCCCACCTACGCAGCGCACGCGTTACCCGCCGCCTCCCCAGCGAGGTGGGTGCTGTACTGAGGTGACCCCAGTGGGCACCTTTGAAGTAGAAGCTGAACATCTTTTGCTGCAGCAGCTTTCATGTTCAAAGCCATCACAAGAGACGGGGAGGAAGCCATTGCTCTGAAAACATTACAGTGTGTTTCAAAGATGAACAGTTCCATTATAAAATTAACTTCCAGTGCGAGTTTAGACACAAGGGAATTTCGTAACAGAACCCAAGAATATTGAGTGTCCATCCCTCAGCCCCTGTATGTGGGAAGTGAGAAGCCTTGTAGTGCCTTCCTGTTTAAAAAAAAAAAAAAGTAGCTGTGAAGGCCATGAAGAAAAAAAAAGTTATTTTAACAGTAGCAGTGGCCCTGTTCTTCCCACACACACTCCTGTCAACGCATGACAGCCCCACTGCACCCTGTTCATACCCAGCCCCCACACACCACCCCAGTGCAGGAACAGCCAGGGCAGGACCTCCCTTCGCAGCCGGGGAGGCCAGAGCTGAGGAGCTTTCCCCCACTCCATCCCTTCCGTAAGAAAGGAAAAGGACAAAAAGAGGGAAAATCCATATCAATATGGAGGTGCAATAGGTACATCGTGATTCTGGATGGAAGCAGATGACCTTCCAGGTTCCTTCCAACCCAAACCACTCTATGATTCTTCAAGCTAGGAGCTGAGTGCAGGTCCCAGCTCCCTCTTTCTCTTTCCATCACTGGGAACATCTTCACCAGCAAGAACCTTTTACAGCCCCTTATTCCTTAATTTTTGCAACACAGGCACCATTTGGAAATACTTCAGCAAGGTGGGCAGGATGAGACAAAAAGGAAACGAGATCAAGTTTGCCTTTGCTGAGTTACTGGGAGTGTTATGGATTGCCAAGATGCAGACATGTCCTGAGACCAGGATGTCTCCTGATACCCCTGTCAGAAGACTGGGAACAGCAGCGACCACAAATCCAGCAAAATCCAGCTGCAGTACCATACCAGCTATACAGCAAAAAAAAAAAAAACCCAACCCAAAGGCAAGCCAAAAGCTTCAAGTCACCAACCGTAACTCACATCAGTTAACAAATACAGCACTTGGTTTATTTTTTTGTTCTCAACTGAAACAAGACTCAGTAGGTTCGTTACCTGCAACCAAAGTACTTCATCTCAAAAGTGAGCTTCCAGGCACAGAGACTTGCAGGAAGAAGTCTTCAGATGTACAGTATTTAATATCATACAGAGTACACAATAAATTACTATCTACATGCAACATACCTACAAAAAGTTACATACAATGTAAAAAAATACAGTATTTTCTGCTCATTTTTTGTTTTAAATTTTTTTCTGTACATTTTTTTAATTTACATTTTTATATACATTTTTGTAAACTTTTTGCATTCTTATAAAAATGAAATCACGTAACAGTTATGAACTTACAGCACCGCTCTTACCATTCTAAAACAACATTTGCAGCTACAGAACAGCCTTTAGCTCGTTTGCTCCTTCATTTCTACTTTGGCACCAACACACTTCACACCATTATTCTGAGGCTAATTAGTCCACTTGCTACCTAGCCATGTCCTCAATACGGAAACACAATCATACTTCAATTTGTGCTTCAATAAAAAAGTTCAGAAAAAAACCATTACATTAACTACTTCATCAACATCACATTTACCTGATATTACTGCATTATGTCTACTTTTCCTGCACTAACTGCTTTACATAAGCATGCAAACAAGTTTGATTATGACTCAATCAATAACATGAATATACTGAAAAACAACTACAAGGGTTAAATATTAAAAGGAACATAGACTTATCAAGATTTACCATGTTAATAAGTCTAAGCTAATAGTATGGATTGAATTTAAGTTAAGATTTTAAACATACTGAAGTATACAATGTGAGTTTCCATGTAAACGAAAATATGAAATTACTCCCTGCACTTTATACTGTCCCTTAGTGAAAACTAGTATTGACTAGAAACTTCCTTCTTGCCATACATACTCCCGAAATAGGGATTCCTGAAGTTTATCAAAACCAAGCTTTAAAAAAAAAACCAAAAAAGTAACTGGAGTACACAACTCAAGATCCATGTAAAGTGTTAAAGCAGTTTCGGTATTTGGCCCACTTGACAGTAAGTCATTTCAGCCTGGTACTACATCTACACACCACTCCACACAACCCACCCAGCCAATCTTGATCTAAACCCAAAATACTAAAGAGTGGAAGTGCCCTCAGGAGGACTCTAAACCAACCTCCTGCTCAAAGCAGGGTCAGCACTGAATTCAAGCCGAGCTTGGAGCTTTGTCACGTTGAATCCTGAGAACCTCCCAGGACAGACTGCACAGCCCCTCTCAGTCCACTCCAACGCTTGACTGCCCCCACAGAGCAAACTTCTTCCATTCACCGAGGAGTTCACACTTCAATTCAATCAAAGCGCCTCAATTCTTGCTCCACACTTCTCAGTCAAGACGCTGAAATCACCTCCTCCTCAGCAACCTCCTCTTAGATACCAAAAGGCTGCTGTTCAAACCCGAAGGCCACTTTGCCAGGCTGAATAAACTCATTTTGCTCAGCCTCTCCTCACAGCTTCTGTGCCCCACAATCGCTTAACCATCTTGGCAGCTTCCTGCTGGACTTGTGCAAGTTGATCAACGCCTTGAACCCAGAACTGGACACTGTTCCAACTGAGAATGAATGCCAAGTAAAGGGAGGAAAAAAAACCTACTTCCCTTGATCTCCTGGCTACACTCCTGTTAACACAGCCCAGTACGCCATCACCCTTCACTGCTGCCAGGGAACACTAGTAACATGTTTAGCTGCTAAGCATTTTGGACCACCAGGTACAGGACTACATTTATGCTTGTTTACAACAGAACTATACATTAGCTTTTTTTGCTGAACTGGGGACCTGAATGGCATTTATTTTCTTTTCTTCCTTAAAATCACAACAACAACAACAAAACCCAAGCCAGGCATTCAAAGCATTGATATACCACAGCAATTCTTGCCTTAATACAGTTTACAGATTACCACCTCATTTATTATTGCCAAAAGACTCTACGATGCATTAAAAAGCTCAGCCTAATACAATCAAGACTTAATGTTATTAAGACCGACAGCTAAGAGCTTGCCACTTTGTTTTAGGCTTGAGTTCGAAGAAGAAGGTGCCTTCCAGATCACTTGGAGGAGAACTGCTAAGGCTTTCTTCTCCGCTGCTCATATCTTCACAGGAGTCTTCACTAGAAGGAACAGTAGGAAATGTAATTTTAATAAAGCACAGCCCCTTGAAAGTGGGAAAGTACCCCTCAATATGGTATTTCCTTGCACGCTTTTCTGCTTCTAGTGTAACATGCCAGATCTAAACGCTTCTCAGTACCAAGGCTTAAATCATAACAAGGTACAATTTCCTTTCTCCTAATGCCAAAAATCTCCTACCGGACAAGAAGCCAGTGTTCAAGATACCAAATAAAAATTCAGAAGACTTCAATGCTTTGTAAGCCTCCCCGTCCTAAAAAAGGAATGCCTCCCCCCACCCCGCAAAGCATTTGTCAAACTGTTACTACCATATTCAGAAAGTCCTTTATTTTTTTCTTTCTTCTGTTTAAAATCTATCTTAAATTCACCCATATTTTCAAAGCTAGCAATTTTTTTCCAAGTAGTACTGAATAAGCCTAGTTAAACAGAGTTGCCACTAACATTTCCAGAAAATAAGAATTCCCACCAAACTGAAACACCTGGTATAAGTTTTACCAACCTCTCGCTTTCATTGAAACATCCACCCTCCGGTATCGTTGGCAACTCAGGAACACTGTAGTAACTGTTCTGTAGATTCTGGGCTGTACGTCTTGAAACAATCCAAACCAGCTTTTTATGATCAGGCTTGCAACATTCTGGAGAAGAATAATCTGCTAGGCATTTTGAGACCAGTTCCCTCCAGTAAAGCAGGTCACTGTCACTTATCTGAAAAGCAAAAAAAAAAGAACCTATTAGTTTATTACACATGGGCTCGCTCTAAAGATAACCACTCCCTCCATTTTACCTTCTCGGAAAAGACTCAAAAAAATTCCAGTCAAGATAAGCGAGTCATAACAGTGATACTTTTGTCAAAGTTTGGCTGCTTTTGAGGGTTGAACTGCTATACACCTCCTAGAAACATCCATGGTGAGGTCTGAGTTGACAGTTTGCCTCTCAGTTGCTATTAACATTTTCATTTCCCCTTCCAAAAGAAAAATGAAACCAGGATTATCCCATTTTAAAATGGGATTATCTCATACTTTAAGGAACTACTTCCACCCCTCAAGAAACTGGGTTAGTTCAATTTGACTGTAAGAGTGAAAAAGCTTGTTTTACACTATCAAGCGATACAGTATGTAGCTAGAAGCCATAAATCCCATGTTAGTTATTCTGGCAAAAAGAATAACCGGCTCAGCAGTCACTGTAGTCCTATCAACTGATTGGAAGTTTCTCTAGAACATACAGTTAGAACTGTACAAGCTAAATCAGCTGCTTGTTAAAGCATGTATTGTGTAGGCATTAGGTCAGCATTTCTTCTGATTTTATACATTTAAGCTAGTGGGTTTTTTTTAAAACATAATCCTTTTGCTTGCCAAGCAGCTGCCAAGGTGTGCCAGGGAGAAATGACTACCTAACTTCATCCTCTCAGCAGCAGTTTTTTTGCATTTGGCATTCCACCAAAGAAACCATGTTCCTTACAGGAGTTGCAGGCAGATGCTAAAAGACCCATTTCATTGCTTACTTCAGCTGATGCCAAACAGGACCTGTAAAGATTGTACCCTGACAGCAGGGGTCCCTTAAATGTAATATTGCACATCATTAACTGCACCAATCCCAACAACTGCAAAGACACAGATAATAGTTACCTTAGAATGCTTTTGAACACGAAGAAGGATCTCAAACAGCTCAACAGATTTCAAAGTCTGAACTTCTAGAGTGAGAAGGCACAAGGCCAAGACAGATGGCTAGAAGGACAAAAACACATCGCTCAACATAACATGAAACAAAACCTACTCAGAAGTCAAAGAAAGATTCTTTCTACTTACTTTTGCTTTAGAAAAGACTAGACGACAGTTGCAAGCTTTTAGCTGCGCTTCCAATTTGTCAAGATTCAATACTTCTTTCCTGTAAGACACACAAGAGAAGCAGCATTTGTGTCAACAAGCATTCACTTGCCACAAAGTAAAAAATAAGGAGCTGCCCCCTCTCCAGCTAATGCCATAATCATTTAAGAGACAACTAAAAACAGCTTAGCAAACATGTAGACCATCACCAACATGCAACTCAACTCACCTTTCTGAGGTATGACAGAGTACAATAGTATGGTACAAGTGCAAGAACGTTAAGGCAGTAGTAGCTTTAAATTCAAAGTGCAACTTTTCTGAAATTATTTTTTCCATCCGTTTCAGGTCGGACACAGTGCATTTACATTGGCTGATCCGGATGATCTCATGAGCAGATGGAATATTGCATTCTTCTTCGACTACTCGGGCAGCCAGTTGGAAACAACAAACTCCAATGCAAGATAAATGCTTTGGTTTCACCTAAAGATAAGAGGAAGCACTATGAATACTTCCCCCCAATAAACACTGTGCTTATCAAACAGTAACACCAACAGCTTACCCAGCCTCAGCTGTTTTGAATATTCACAGTTCACTAGAAAGAGTGATTTGTTTATCTCAACTAGGCCTGACATCAGTTATTTCATATACCTCACCTAGTCAGAGCTGGTTTCATCACTTAAGTATCAGCAAAACACAGCTGGCAGAGCCAATAAAGCACTATCCATGGGCCATAGCTAATGCAGAGGAAGTAAAGTTCAACAGCTGAGCACCCTCTATTGAAACAGCTCCACATCACTACACAACAAGAACTGCGGTGAGAACTGCAATACCCCATTTCTCCAAGCAGCAGTGCTCACGTACCCTCATTTGAAGGCTACACAAATCCAGCCTGAACCTGTTCTAGGCAGTCCTGTCCCTCCACAACTTGTTCCTACCTCTGCTGTTCTCTCCCATGTACCAATATAACATTTTATGCAACCTCAGGGCCAGTCAGGCCAGAGAACTGATGCAACTTTTGTTTTTCTGCCAAGTTAATAATGGAGACCTGGTTTAAGTTTAAACTGTCTGCCATAAAGCAGCACAAACATGAAAAAAAACCCATCCAGGAAACTATCGTTCCAGCACCAAGCCAAGCTTTAACACAGTACCTAGAAATAGTCCATAATACAAATTGCTTTGTTCCTTCTTAATTTCTCCTTTCTTAGTCTACCCCTACATGGTGAGGACTGCAGACTTATTAGAGGAAATAAATAATGCTACTGCCTTCAGAGGTAAAAAGAGGTCAATAGTATAAATCAGTTAACAAATCACATAAATTTAAGCTTATCTTTCATGCAAAACCTCAACTTAAAGTTTACAAAGGAGGACTTCAGAAATGTTGCCAGCATAGAATGAGTAAGTAGCCACAGTTATCTACTAGATCCCAACCTTCCCCTTTTCGTCAAACAAGAAAATTCCTATATTTCCAGCTGACACTACAGGTCCTCTGCCCCAAAGTACCTTCATAAGAGCCAAGAATCTGTCCAGAATGTTAACAGCCAAAACAAACGTTTCAGTTGCAAAACCGAAAAAGTTGGTCAGACTCCAAAGATCTTCCACCTTGGCATTCCTTTGCCTTGGACACAGAGTATTTTCATTCTACAAGGAGAGAAGCAAAGTCAGAATTATTTAGTGGCAGCAGCAATGAGCACAACCCACTCAATCCCCACAAGTCATCTTTTACTTAGATCAAAGAGAAGCAATTATTTTCTTCTGTAAATGCTTTATTTCTCTTAACTTCAAAAAAATTTAGATACTTGATACTCAAAACACACCCAACACAGAGAGATTCCAGCCAGGTCCTGAGTCTCACTGTTGCAATACCCAGCACAGCCACATTTCCAAGTACACACTTGTTATTTTAAGACAATAGTTACCAAGTGTGTGCATACACAGTGACTCCTGACCTTACAGAAACAGAGATGACCAAACGCAGCTTATTCTCCTCTCTGCCTCCATGTCAATATTTAAGCAATAGAAGTTTTGCTTTCAAAACAAACAACCGCACTGATTTCAGAGACTTTTTTTGTTAAACATTAAGGACCTTTCAAAATCGACTCAGAAGCATCCGAAGGAATGCAACCCTGCCCTAAACTCCATAAGGAACTCTGATCATTAACGTGGAAAGGTTTGTGCTTAGTTCAACTTTTGCTGTTAAGCACAGGGTGTTTCTAGATTCATTTCCTTATACCTTGCTAAAGAAAAGCTGGTCGTTTCCCCATTCGTTAATTGCCTACGTGACATCCCAGCTTCCCTGCAGTGGTACGAAATAGCGGTAACAAAGCGCCCAAGACGAAAACAATACACTTCTGTCGGTTCTGTGTTCACTCAAAGTTTAAACAATAAGCACCTAAATAATTTACTTGCCCTGTGGGTTACAGTTCTTTGATAATGGAGTGCATGTTAATAAGTACAGACGAAGCCCAAGTTAAAACAAAAGGCAAGGGGTTGTTTACAGAGGGAAGAATTAACTTTCTGAAGTTAAGACAGATCTATCTCCCTTGTAGCTCGGAGATTTTTTAAAAAAACACGTATTTCCTGCTCTGAGGAGCCTGCCTCATCCTCCCCCCGCCCCCCGTCAAGCCCGGCGCCCCCTCACCTCGGCGGCGCCCTCGATGAGGCTGAGCCCCTTCTCTCGGGGCTGAAACCGCCCCTCCTGCTCCAGGTGCATATTCAGCTGCTTGAAAAGCCACATCACCTCGCTGCTCATTTTCTCCCCTGCCTCCGGAGCCTTTTACCTTCGCGGCAGACAAAACACGTCGTCAACAGCTGGCAGCTCATCCCGTCCGTCCCCCCCCTCCCCGGACGACCCCT